ACTGCACACAGTGCCCTGGCGTGTGGGTGCATGAAGTTCTTGTGTCATGGCAAAATGATGCCCTCTGCCTAGTTCACGGTACCGCTTCTGATAACGCCCGGTGTTTGCTGACTGCTGTGGCACGTTAAATCAGTGCTTTAAGGGAGATCTGCCAACAAGGACTGTGCTTCTCTTTCCTGAGTTGTTGTCTTAGAAATGAACTCTTATCGTGTAGCATTTTGTCCTTATTTACTACTTGCCTAAACTCCTCCACATGCAAATGTTATGGAGTCACAAACATAGCTCTAGTTTTTTGTTGTTGTGTCAATTTGGAGGAGGGTGTAATAAAATAATAGTAGTATGGAAATAGGGAAGAATCTATTATTTAATGATATGAACACATGAAGTAATTTAGATTTCTTGGCTGTTATTCTTTAGCCCAGTTAGAGGAATCTGAAGGAAGCTGTTTGGTCAAGGTTAAAGAATAGCACTGGGTGAGCTATAACCACGGGAACCAATGCTTCTAGGTCTTCCTCAAAAATGTTAAAAAACCATTCCAATCCAACAAGTTACAGTGAGCTGAATCTTGAGGCATTTTGCTGGGTATAACAGATTATTAAAATGATCAGACAAATACATGGCAATATAAACTTTAATTTTACTTGATAAGTTTTCCAAATTGTGTCTCCAGCAAAGCTCTGGATACATGGCTTGATTGTTTTGATAGGATTTTTTGGAAACGAATTCACATACCTTCATCCCTCTCCCTGGTTTGGTGGACTCTGTTGATGCTCGAGGCCTGCTTTTTAGATGCAAGTCTGTGCAAGCCTCATGCAGGTGTTTTGGGCAAAGTAGCCTATGGCACAGTAAAGGCAGAGCTTTGAGAAGGAACAGAATCTGGTGGCTGAGAATGTAGGTTCATGTTGCTCCGGCTGGTGGAGTTGGAAGTCAGAGGGCCCCAAGAAGTGAACACGAGGCGAACTGCACAGCTGTCCTCTGCTTCCTGCTATGTTGTGTTGTTTATGTGTTGTTGTGACAGTGTGTGGCTGTCTGAGACCTTGGCTTGGAAAGTGTCATGAAGTAGTATGATGCTTGGAAATGCTGCCTACTCAACTAGAATAAAATCATCTAGTGAGTGTAGACTCTTGCTGGATATAATATTGCAAATGGGGCTTATTTGTATCCATAATATAACTGCTGTCTTAGTCCTAGGTGATATCTATAATAAATCTATTTTTTTTGTTACGGAGGTTTTTGGGGGCATTTTGATTAGTGCTGTTTCAGTAGTTCCCTGTCTGCCCAGGGATAAGCTTCGCTAATACAGATCAACAGCATGAACAGCGTCTGCAAACCTGACGTACCCTTGAGAAACAGATTGGAAATGTCTCCGAAGAGATCTTTGGTGGTGGTGTGCCCTGTCCTGAATAGTAGTGGTGCTTACGAGTACGATTGCCAAAGCCAGGCTGCTGTGGTGGTATGAGGTTCTGTTATCCTCGAAAAGAAATCCACAGGATGCTGTCCCTAATACTAAGCTGATGAACTGAGTGTAAATGTTGCAAATGAAATTAACTGGCATGCCGACTACTGCATCATACAGTTAATGTAGGAAATCCTCTTGGCTTAATTGTACGCTTACACGCTGTTTCTTGGTAGGCGCTTAAGTCATTATTTAGAATGGATAAACAAAATTGGATTTTTGATTGGGGAACAGCTAACCCTTTTCAAGTTTTGGCTAGCCTGCTGTGTTAGAGACTTGATGCTTTGCATACTTTCAGAGAGAAGGCATGGGCAGTTTTCCTTAAGCCTTTGTCTAAATCAGGAGTTGAAGATGAGCTCTCTTGTGATAGCAGTGATTGAATTTACAGTATAGGGCAGACCTACGCACTTTGGCCTGAGCCAGGCATGACGAGAGAAAGGTCTTTGTGCTTCGTGTGCTGTGGGCTCTGACAGGTATCCAGCTTTGAGTCTGAAAGGTTTTGTGTTTCAGACTTGACTTGATAAATAAAGACCCCAAACAAAACTTCCAGCTTTGGTGTACTCTGTGTGTTCTTTTTCCTCTGCTATTTTATATGTAACCAGCTGACGTACGGTCACTCTGGAGAGTAGTACTGCTCTTGTTTATCTGTGTGCGGTATCTGAACTTCAGCAGGGTTATCGGCTTCCCTTTTTCCACTTGTTTTTAAATTCCTCTGACTATAGAGAAATAGCGTATTTTTAACAAGGTATTTTTCACTTACTGGATTGTTTGTAGATTCAATCTATGCAATCTGTAAGTGTCCCGATGTAATTAGAGCTTTATTTTTCAACCTGCGTGACCCGACACTGCAGAGAGTGTATCAGGTTAAGCCCAACTTTTTATGGGTTAGGGTTTTAGCCTGTGACAAAACTGCTGTAATTGAACAAACCGTGGAGCACGGTTTCAGCCTGAAGCAGCTATGAAATAGTGTAATTCAAGCTGTGGTTGACAGCTTGCTGCTCCAGGGAAGGTATGATTCCTCCTCATGATTCCCCTGTTCTCTTTGCCCCCACCGCTTCCCTGCTCCCAAAGACGTCGTTCCACCAGCTTTCCTCGGTTAGCGCTGGTGCTCCACCCTTGCAGAACTTGTTTCTGTTTATTAACCTGGCAGAAAATTCTCCTCTCCTTCTTGCTGGGGCTGCTTTCTGCCAGGGTGGTGAGATTGTGTGGTTGACCCCTCCAACGGGTTTGCCCGGCATCAGAGCTGGTGCGAGGTAGAAGGGGGAGCACGCAGGTGGGAGGGTGATGCAGAGGCACCCCACCTTGCAGAAGTACTCTGCGGGTCAGCAAACTCCTTGGACCTTCTGAGACCACAGTGTAGTCTTCTCGCACAAAGCCTGGTACCTCCCGTTTGCAACGGGATGGGAGCGTTTGCAGAGACACTTATTGTGGCCCAGAGGAAGTGACGTAACTTGTTAAACCACAGACTAATTTGTACGTCTGATTTGGTAGTTTGTGTTAATTACAGCAGGAAACATGAGAAACTGAGTTCAAAGTTGCGCTGCTGAAATAAATAAGCCTGTGTTGGCGCTCTTACTTGCGTTTAAGAACAGTCTATCTACTGATCTCCAGTATTTTCAGAAGGGAATCAGTGAACTTTCAGTTCTGAATGTGATTGGTACAGCTGAAGTTGTTGAAGTGTTGTCTCGTTCCCTAACTGTTTTTCATGTTGTTGCATGCAGGGATTTGCTACCTTCCACATCAGGCTGAGGGAACCCTGCATGTGTGTGTGCATGCATGGACTCTGACCTAACAGAGCTGAGGTCCAGTGCCTTAGCCTAAGCTGTCGATGGAGGTAGATTTAGCCTATGCTGAGTGTCTGTCCTAAAGCAATTGCTTTTACTCAGTTCCATAAATCCAGGAGGTGGTAACAGTTTAAGCTACCGCAACTGTTTGCAGAGTGAGTTTGTTTCAACACTGATTTAGATTAAACCACACAGATGCACTATTGCCATTTCATACAGATTCCTTAGGCCTGATGAGACGTAGCTGGGTCTGGTGCTGTTTTACTACGAGAGAAGAAAATCTGGCACTTCATTGGTGCTGTGGGAAGTCACCCGGTACTTAGCTGCTCACCCTTTTTTGCCCCTCTCAAGTATAGCCTGGCTGGCCTCCCTGGGGTTGTTCTGGCAGAAGGAGACTGCTGAGGGCTGAGATGAGTTATATGCATATGTAAGCAAACATGCTGTAAAAAAGCTTCTCCCTTGTACCCCCTGTGTTGTCTGGCACTTCAGTTATTTCAGTTACAGTGAAGAAGTGTTTGTGGGTGGAGGATGATATTATGTATAACTGGAAACAATCCCACAGAGGACTTGGGTACCAAGAAAGAGGCTATGTACTAGAGTTTTATTTTGGGACTACTTGACCTGTTTTCAGGCAAGATTTATCCTGTTTTTAGCATTTTGGATTTGAGATGTATCAGAATGGGAACAAGAAGGTTGAAATGAGCTTGGGAAAAAATTGAGTGCGAAGAAATATACCTTCAATTTTTTGGCTAAACACCAGTCTGCAGAAAGCCTGCAGTGTGGCCTTTAGAATAAAATTAGCTCGCTCTCTCAGACTGTTAGGGATTCCTCTGATTCCTTTGAATTAGGGTAATGGCTGATGAACAAGCTATTGAACCGTGAATGAAGTTACAACTGTGCATTGCGCTGTGCACAGCCAGTACCTGTTAGTATGTTTGTTGTGCTAGGTGCTGTATTCTCTTAACCTGTGGAGAGCAGGAGGTAGCTGGTTGAAAGAGGGGCGAGCTCCCCTACGCTTACCACAGGGGAAGACCATGCCCATGGGCATTGACCACAAAGTTATGGGTATACTGTAAGGATACACCATAGCTTACGCCATGGCAGCTTTTTCATCTGCCCATAGCTTTAGTTTAAATGAGCACCCTATGTGAGCTTAGCCAAAATAAAATGTTTAATGCTGCCTATTTCTGCCAGCAGGGTAAGGAGGATGACTTACGGCATCTTTGAACTTTGCTAACAGCGATGCATTTTTAACTTTGAGGGAGAATGCGAAGTTGTGGTGGCAGAGCTCAGTGGGTTGGTTCCAGAGGTTTAAGTCAGCATGTTCTTGTTATAGAAAATGGAGAGCCAGTGGGATAAATTTTAAATCCTGCAGATGGTTAATGACAGGTTTCAGCAAACTTACCAACTCCTCAACTATGTAGCAGAATACCAGAGCCAGACACCATGGACAGTATGTTTCAAAGAAATACTTAGAAATTGCCAGTGGAAGCTAAACTTTGAAAAACATGAAGTCATTCTTGAAAGGGTTCACATTTGTTAAAGATCACGTCAACAGCCACATATTTCTCGAAGCTGATGCTAGTATGCCGTGATGGGGAAAATACTGTGTGGATGTTGGCTCATATATGAAAGAGGGAAGCTTTTGCATGCTGACAGGGGAAAGTACTGTTGCTGGTTTAGCGGGCATTCTGCTCAATGCATGTTTGATTTTTTTCATGTGAGTCTTAAATAATACCTTTTGGATTTTTCTCTTTCAGAATCGTAATGAAATAAAAAATGGAGCGATCCTTCGGTTAACAACATCTCCAGTGAGTTATTGTTCCGTTCTCTCCCTTCAAAGTGAAGATTTGATTAGTAAATCATTGTGAACTGATGTATGTATTTCTAAGCTTTAGCCACACTGTATCCCACAATCCCTCCGCAAAGGAGGATGGTGGTGTGGTCACAAGATGAATGTATGTGGTCGTCTCTTTTTCTGAGTTGTGGGGGCAGGGGTGGTATCTCTTTGAGTGACATTTGTTGATAAAGTTGGCACAACTGGGTGTTTTTATGGCTCTCACTTCTCTCCCACTGGGAACAGTTTCATGTCCAAGATACCTTTGCTTCCCTGCTGGCATTGTAGCCTCACTCAAGTGCTCCTTCTCTACCCCAGCACTGAGAGCTGAGAGAAGAGGCTGGGAGTTGACTCATGGACAGCTCTGCTGTGCAGCTCTGGTCAGAGCTTTCCTGCTCTCTGGCTTTCTTTTGAGTGAGCAGCAACTGTGATGTTGAGAATTTACTGGTTTTGTTTTATTTTTTTTCAACACCACCTCCTTGCCAGCTCCTCAGAAAAGCACGGCAGAGTTGCTGGCTGACTGTTACCACATGCTGAAAGCTGCTATTAGTCCCAGAAGATGTATAAGGCAGCAGCAATCCCATTTCCTTGCTGACAAATGTAGTGTGCCATTAAAATGGTTTACCTCTTCATGGTGATGTTCTAGCTTCTGCAGATTCAAAGCATTCTTATGGCCAAACTCTGCCATCCTGTACTGCAGCTCATTTGAACAGGCAGGACAGAGCTGTGGTGGTTTAACTTCGGCTGCTGTTGAACCTGTTGAGTGGGGTCAATTACTGCCATAAAATGTACGAAATTCTATCTTGCAGCCACACAGAGATTATAGATAAGTTTTTGGATGAATGACTTTTCAGCTAGTAGGGCCTAAGTTCAAAGTGAAGAAACAGAGAAGTGCGTGTTGTTACTAACTTCGCAGGGTCTCTGGGCATGATGTGCACTTCCACTCCTCCTCAGGCTGCTTAAGCTGATGATGGATTATGTTGAACTTGGGAGGTGACTGAATTTGTACACAGACTTTTGTGTGTAAGTGGAGATTGAAGAAGCCAGTATGGAAACATAGACATGCCTCAAATCTTTTAATAAGTGACTGCAATATTAATCTACAGCAGTGTAGCTTCTTAACAGAAAGCACTTCTAAGCAGCAGCCAGCTGGGCAAAGACAAGACATTTCCGCTATGCTCGATCGTCTTTTTCAGTGGTCATTATATACAGAGTTTTACAGTCATAAGAACAGACAACAGTTTAAGACCGTGGCTGTCTCGGAGTCTGTGTGACTCCAGAGTCTCCTGCCATATGTTTCAGCCATATGTCACCAGAACAGCTTCATACATGAGGAAAACACTTGCTGGTGGAGTAAACCCCATTTGGTAGAACTTCCTCAGAAACAGCCCCAGCACCAGCTTTTCCGAACTTTTGGGACTTCTTAAGAACAAGTATCCACTCCACTGAAAAAGGGCTATCTACTGCCCAGACTTGGGATCTCATGAAATCAAAACAACATCTGTGGTTCATCAAGAACCAATGTGGTCCAAGCGCACTGCATCATTCTTCTGTGTAACCACAGCACGAAGTGACATCATGAGATGACTCATGGAATCCTTCCCTGTCTCAAAATCCACAACCAGTTCCACCACACAAAACTGAAGAGAGGCTGTGCTGTGACTGATCTGTGAAGATGGCTGGCTGTGTCTTCATGATCACCTGTGCGATTGGGAACGTGACCTACAAATACAAAAGACAAATTTTGGATTTATCACATTTTCTGCTAAGTTTTATGGGCAGGAGGGTGGGGCTTTGCATAAGACTCTCTTCTTGTTCCATTTCTTTGGTGGTTTGCCCTAGGGTCAGTCAACCAAGACAAGGGTCCTTAGGATACTGAGGTATTACCTGTTACCTACCAAGTTACGGACCACTCTGGCAGTGGCCTGCAGTTACAAGTGACTCGGCCATCCTGTTATAAAAGAGAAGGCCAGTCCACTTTCTAGTCTTCAGTATTGATACTTGTCCATGAACCAGTGCTTATTTTCTAATTTTCTGACATTTTAAAAAAATTTTTGTTAACTTTTGCCCAGAATCAGGGAAGTGGCTTGGAAGGAGGTTTTTGAAGGACTGGATTGTTTTTTTGTCAGATTAGAGAGTATTTGTATTCTTAAAATAGACATAAAATGAAGTTCTGCATGTTCCCACCCTACAATAGTAGTGTCTTTGCTTTTAAGATACCGTCAAAGCGGTCATCATAGAGGTACCTAAAATAGATTAAAGGCTTCCAAGCTGTGGTTTTTAGACTGGTGACCCACACAACGCTTGTCGTTTACCCTGAGAAGCTAACAGGCCATCTGTTTCCATTTTTCCTCTGATATTCTTTATAAGCGCAGCAGTAGTTGGAGGAGATAATGTGAAGAACAGACTGCATGATATACTCCTGCAAAATGGGAAAGGTGCTTTCCTACCTGCTAGAGCTACGTGGGAAATGTTTTTTTTCTTCCTGTGGAAATATGAAGATTCTGAAAAATTTTCCCCCTTTTTTATCTATCCTACATCAGTATAGAACTGAAATTATCTCCACCTTCCCCCAGGAAAAGAAAATCATACCAAAAATGCTTTTTGAAGAGGTGGAAGAATTAGAAAAGGAGGAGATGAAGACTGAGAGAAATTAAGAGGAGCCGTGTAGATTACGCAGTGTCTGGGATGCAGCCATGTAGTTCCAGAGAGGCCTGAGCTGCCTGCTTCCTAGCTGTTGTGGGCAAAACGAAAAATTTGTCCTGAACTTCACAAGCATTTTGAGGAAACTTTTTTCTCCTGGAATAGTTGAGAGGAATCATTTTGACCAGTTCTGAAGGCTGCAGGAATTTAAAATGCTTTTCTGGTTCTTAATTTTCATGCAGCTTATTACCATGACAGCCAGTAGTCTGGCTATGCCCATTCACAATTGTGTGCTGCAAGTCATTGAAAATTAGGTGAGAAGGAAGAGATACGATCTTTCTGAGATCTGTTGTCTTTAGCCTCAAATTGTGTATTGCTCATGTACCCAGAGAAAATACTTTTAAAGATTAAAAGGAGGGAAGGGGAAAAAGGTAGTTTTATCTAGACTTTCTAAACCAATATTTTTGGTTGGCTTTTTAAAGGATTTGAAATCTAACTCCCCAAATCTAAACGTTAAATACTTTCTCTCCTTTGATCTCAGATTTGGATTATTTTGTGTGTTCATATGGAGATCTTTTTCTGAAAAGCATTGCTAATATTGCAAGGACAAAACTGCAGTTATGGTGCACTGCTAAATCCATTATAAACTTCAGAGATTTACAGCGTGTCTATTTTAAACTTCTTAGAGTTAAAACTTTGCAAACGGCAGTCGTTAGGCCTGGTGGGAATTTGAGCTGCCTCTTTGTTTCCATAGGTCTGTTTGCTAAGTTTGTGCAATTCTCTGAAAGGCTGTTTTTTCTAAACAGTGCTATTTTTTTTCCTCTATAAACCACTCGCCACACAGATACTCTGTTTCCTAGGTAACTTGAGTACAGATTGAATTTCTCTCATATTATCTTTGTTCCTATATCATCTTTCTTATTTATTTTTAACGTCTCCTGTCATCTTTCTTAACAATTCTTTGTGCTGTTTTGTGTTTTGCAGTTTTCCGTGACCTATTTTCCCCCTTTGTCCATTTACATTTCTGAAGGGACTCATCAAGAGTTTCTTACGCAACATTTCTTTGTATTTGAACATATGTGGCAGCTGAAATGCCAGATTGCTATTGTCTGTTTTGTGATACCCATATTCCAGTGGATGGTGGGTAGGTGTATAAATGAGCTGTAATTGCTCTCAAGTGTGAGACTGTTCTGAAAGGACAGTTGTGTCCTGTAATGCAGCAAGCGGGGTCCAACCTTTCAGTGCGTGCAACTGCAGGATTCCTTTGATTGGATCCTGCAAATCCTCGTTCAAATAACTGATCATTTTGAGAGGGTGCTAAAATACTGGGAAAATTAAACTGAAGGAACTGCCCTCTCGATCTATTTATTTTATTTAGTCATTTTCAAACAGAACTGATTATTTGAACACTCAGTGTTGGTTTGAAAGTAGCTTCTTGGCCACTGAAAAACCATGGCTTGCTCATGAGCTACGTGCCTTAAATGTTGAGTCAATGGGTAGCCGTTTCTAGTGGGGTATTCACGGTTCCTGATCATTGACTTTTGTGCATGTTTTTCTTTGATCCCCTGATTGGAGATCGGTTGAGTTCTCCAGCCTGTAAGTTGTTTGTAGGCAGCTGTATTAGCATTTCTAGCATGAGCAATCATGTAAATAGGTGTGATCATTAACACTCATAGTGTTTTCCCTGAATGCTTTTACAAATATGAGCAATGTGGGTTTTTTATTTATATGTGCTCTACACAGGCTAGGAAGTGTAGAGGGTTTTTTAGCCTGTTTCTGCTTATGCATTTGAATCTTCTATCTTTGACTAAAAGTTCAGGAATCTGGTCTGTAATCTTTGATCTACAGGTGCTTTAATATGTGCTCAACTGACTTAATGTTCTTGAAGTTCAGTAAATGCATAAATGTTTGCAGGTCCAGCCTATGATTTGGATTATGTTGATCATATAATGGTGAATTAGTTATTACTGAACACTATAACAGGAGCACTGATCGTGGAAGTTAATGAGCCACTTCTATATTTGTCTGCTCGTAGTACAAGAGGAAGATTTGGAAAGTGAAGCTGGTTGTCTTTTTATAGGTAAAGATTTAATCTCTCATTTTCAGGTTTCCAAAGGCGTATTTTGAATAGTAAGCAAAAAGGATGGTTTCATATGGAAGAGGAAAAATTGCTTCTCAAGCATTCAAAAGTGGCTACTGATTGCGTAAACTTATTTTAGGCATATTTACATAATACATATGGCTATGCATCTGTAACGCTTTTATCATTGATTTAGGATGTGACCACTTCCCTGTTCCTCTGTTTCTGCCTCCTTACTTACGTACAGCGAT